TGTACAGATGAGGAAACTGAGGCTTGCATAGGAAGTGACTCATTCAGGCCATACTTCCTGCACAGTAGGGGCCAATTTTCCTGGCTCCTGCCCTTGCATCTTCTTTGGGATTGTGTGTCTCTTCCCTCCTCAGATGCCGGTAGTGGAGGTGGCAAAGGAAACAGACACGCACATTATGCACTGTGTAGGGCAATGTTTCCCTATGTGCTGAGTGCCTTCTTTCTCATTCCTCTGCCTATGTCTTGCTCCAAATTCCTTTTCTTCCTATCTCTCATCCCCACTTCATGTTACACATCACACGTTGGTATATAGCTGCTTTCTCTCTCGCTCAGCCCAGTCTAAGCTTCTTCACAGGCAGAACATTGTCTGCTACTTCCCTGTTCTTTCTTTCCTTAGTGGCTACCATTAGTCCTTGGCACCTTGTAAGCACTTTGTTTCTGGCCCCACCCACCTTACCTCTTCCAGGAAACCACCCTGGATTACTCAGTCCTATTTCTCTATCCTCAGCTTTTCTTCTACGGAAGCCTGACTCTCTCCTCCCCTTTCTTGGCCTTTTGGGCACCTATTTTTGGAGCAGTTCCCTTAGCCACAGTGTCCTCTCCCCTCGTTTCTTTCTAGACTTGCTCTTGGAGAAGCCTCAGGGCCTCCTTGATGCCTCTCTGTTGCTGCCTTCACTCTCCTACCTCTTCTCTTAACAGGAGGCTTTGACTCCATGCAGCTCTTGACAAGCTGATTGCTCACTATTGATACCCTTCCCACTCAGATACATGGTACTCAGGTACCAGTCTCACCTTCCAAATCCCATGTGTCCTGCACACACTTCCTCCCTTCATCTCCCTCGTAGTCCTACAGGGTTTCCTTTCCTTTATATGAGGAGAAGATGATAACTAAAGTGAAGGGAAGGTTAGGTGACCTAGATAGTCAGGCAGGGAAGACTGACCCAGGGTCTAAGGGGCTGTTCAGACTCTGCCACTCTTAGGCAAGTGTAGGGAGAGCCTGGGAAACTCTGGTTTCATCAGCATGGGGGTGTGGCCTCCCTGGCCACTCTGATTATCAGATGTAAAGCAAGAAGGTTGCAACACACCTGCCTGCCACCACCTCAGTCTTGCCTGGCCTGTTTGCAGCTATTTGATCTAGTGCCGCAAACAGCTCTAGTGTCACCTGGCAGCAGGTAATCCACAGCTATTTGGTCTAGTGCTACAGGTGGCTCTAGTGTCATCTAGCAGCAGGTTATCTGTGGTGGGAAAACCTAGGTGGGGTTCACAATGCCCCCACAATCAGTTGCACAAGACTTCACAGTGCATATTATCAATGCATGTTATCCAGTGTGAGGCCGAGTGAGCATCCCTCCTTAGCTGGTATCTTTCTAGAACCTGGGTGTAGACAGCTGTGTAGTAAGGATCATCCCTCAGTGACATGATATTGTAGAAATGTTGAGAAACCTGTACCAGATTCCTGCTTACAAGCTTAACCTCTTTTGCTTTACCTTGCTTCAGTTTTCCTCTCTCTAAAGTGAGGTTGTTAGTCCTCTGCCTTCTCCACCCTTCCAGGGAGAGCTATGGGGCACAGCTGTGGGACACACTGTACCACTAAGAGGGAGGAAACTGCTTTCTGGATGACAAGGAAGTTTCTTGGAGCTGCTCTATATCTCCTCTCCCTCTACTCTTCCTAAATTAGAGAGCAAATGAGCTGTGTCCAATGAATGGGTCTCTCTTGAGATTAGGCACCTTTGGGAAGAGTCAAGCTCTGTCACTGTCTTGCTGAGATGATTTGGATTTGGGTCACCATCAAAACAGGTGTGAGGATATTCAAATGCAGGAGTCTGCGTGCCTGTGCAAGGGCTTTGGAGGCCCAAAGCTCTGTGGGCCCCTTGGACTTAGCCCTGCATAGAGTCCATAGGAATGTCCAAAGCAGCCTTTCTTTTCTCCTCTCTCAGCAAACTTTATGAGCACCTGTTCCATGTCAAGCTCTGGCAGGTCACTGCAGACCCAGATATGCATCAGACAAAGTCCTGGGCTTAGGCAGCTCTGGATCTCATGGAATCAACTTGGACTAGGCAATGAGCAAAAAAAGAAGGGGCCTTGTGCTAGTCCCTCCTGACTTCATTGCTCTAAGGTGGTCCTTAGAGTTCTCAGAGAAGGACTGATCCTCTACCTCTGGTGGCTTCTTGGAAGAAATACTGGCCACTTGTGATTTAGAAAGATGAACTTTATGTCATTGTTCATCATCAGTGGACACAACAGAGTGGAGCAGTGACTCACTTAGGCCCACTGGGGGCTTCCACTGGGGCCTGGGGCTCAGCATCTGTAGATAGCTAAAACGGGCTGGGACCTGAACCACGCAAAGCCACATCCTCCTCCAGCTTCCTTCTCCAGGCAGCCATCACTGCCTCCTACAGAAATCCTAGCACACACACCCCTCCCCTTCCCAGTTTGCATTCTCACCTTGTTGGCACAGTGAATGCCGGGCAGTGGTTGAGACTGGGTATGTTAGTGTGAGAATAGAATGGACTGATGGAAGAGTCTGCCTGAGCTCTGGCTCTGGACTTGGGACACTGTTCTCTGGCTCCTGGGTTTCCTTGGTAAAATGGGATGAAAGTGGGACAACATGGGCTGTGAGTTCTTTCCCTCTGACTCTATTAAACTTAGCAGGGAGATTGAGATGAGGCAAAGAAAGAACTTTTAGGTTTTCTCAGTTGTTTCAGGTGGGGTGTGTCACTGGTAAAGTTCTGCATGGATACCCCTGAGCCAAAGTGCTGCCACCAGACATAGTTGGCTGGCTCTGACCCAAAGGCAGGGGCCCTCATAAGATGCAGCCTGTCTTGCTTTCCCAGAAGTGAGCCTCTAGTGCTGGCCTTTGGGGTCCTGCCTGCAGTGGAAAGCAGGCAGCCATGAGAAGACAGCCAATCCTCTGCCCTCCCTGGCCTCTGCTTTCTGCTCAGCAGAAGGAAGGCTCCAAACTCTCTCCCTTCTCCCAGTCTTGTTCTGGGACCTTTAAAGTCCTGATCCCCAGGACTTGTCAAAACTCTTTTAAGCCAGGCCCAAAGAAACATAGGTCCCATGGTTTCCCTTATTTGCAATAACTAGTATATGTCTGAGTCAAGTAAAAAAGGTCAGATAAGTTGATGTTAGGGGAATGAACCCCAAGATAAGTATTCAAATGTTTTTTTGTTTTTTTTTTCCTTTCATGCAACTGTTTCTAACATATTTATAAGATGATTTCTATGTTGCTTTGTATGTCCCACCCCCACAGTATAACCCATGCTTTCACTGTACTTGATGTTGGTATAATTTGTGGAGGGGAAGGGCAAAAACAAATTGTTTAACTAGGGATACAGGTGGACTCATTGCAGCAATGAGATGTACAAGTCGTTATGTTGAAAATGAACTTTACAACTTTGGTGGGGGGGAGGTAGGGGGGAGAACCGGGTCGGGGGAGGGGGGAGGATGAGAAGGGATGGGAAGGGGAAACAAAGAGGAGGCAACAATGCTTGATAAGAAATGTACTCTTTATCTTGCCCATGTAATTGTAACTCCTCTGTATGGTATTCTCACAATAAAAAATAAAAAATAAAACCACTTTGCCTGATTAGATCCAGGCAGCACAAGTAATACTGATGCTGTGTTCCTAGACCACACTGAGTAGAAAGTGCTTTTTGTCCCCTCTCCAGAGAGGACACTGGCCAACCATTGACTTGCCCACCATTAATCTACTGCTGATAGCTATGGCTGCTGGCAGGTGACATGGCCATTTGGCAGCTCAAGCCTGGTTTGGGGCCTCATTTCCCTCCCTTATATACTTACCCATGTCTCTTCTCACACTCACCATACCTAATACCTACTACTACCTGGATGACCTTAAAGTGGGCAGGTCCCGTATCTGGGCTTTGGTATCTATTGGACTCTGCTGGCTGAATGTAGAGGGCCCTCAGGCTCCAGAGTATGCTGTTGGGCCAATCTCAAGATGGAATTTTGATAGAAGGATCAAAGGATCAGATTACAGATGAACCCTCTGGAGTAGCTAGGAACCTAGCCTCTTTATTTGCTTGCAGGTTAAGGTGAAAGGTTTCAAGACCCTCAAGGACAAGGCTATGGCTGAGTCAACTGTCCTGAGTTTTTGAGCAGTGTATGGTGGGAGAATGCTTGGGCACACAACAGGCTCTCAGGGAAGCTATGTTTAGCAAAGGGCTCACAGCTTGGCTCAGCCAGGGAAGAGCGTGAATGGCCTTACTTTAGTCTAGGGCTAGAGGGATTGGCCATGGCCTAGAGGCCTTTCTGTGTTCTTCCTCAGTACGCTCCAGCAGGGCATCATCCTGGAGGTACAACCACAATGGCAATTAAGTAGGCACATCTTGTCCTGACCTCCAGACCTTGCACTTGCTTGGTAGCAAAGAATAGCTCCAGGCTGCCTGAAGTTCTCTGCCCCCAGGTACATTAGTGAATCAAAGATCCCCCTTGGCTCCTCTGTTAGTACTGTACTGATGTTAAAAGGAAATCTCTCTGCTTGTTATGAGGTGAGGGGGACTGGTGGTGTTGAGGGGGAAGCAGGAGTTCCAACTCCTTGGCAAAGGAGCATCAGTCCCTGGATAGAGGGGACAGAACAGGGGTTACTGATGCTCAAAGTACAGTTAGACACACATACAAAAAATTTGCAAATCAGATGTTGAACCTTTGTCCTTGGCCTCCCAGGTAGCAAAGGTTAAATATTTGTGCTAGTGCAGATAAAGGGTAGAGACAGGAGTTGGGAGCAGAACTGAGAGCATAGAACTGCTATTACAGAGGGATTAGCCAAAGCTCAACTCCAGAACTTGTCTGTGTGATCTCCCAGTGACCCTGAGAGGGCCATGCTCATGGTACATGTATAGAGACCAGGGACAGTGTCTGGTTCTGTGATCCATGTTCTCATGTTTGTGAAGGTACCTGCAAAATGTTGGGCTGGTATTGGAACCCCTGAAACTTCAGGAAAGGGTGGCATTTAACTGTCATCTCCCTCTGCCACAGGTACTGGCTCCAGCATCCTCTCTGCCCTCCAGGACCTCTTCTCCATCACCTGGCTCAACAGGTCCAAAGTGGAAAAGCAGCTACAGGTCATCTCGGTACTACAGTGGGTCCTGTCCTTCCTCGTGCTGGGTAAGTGTGGCAAGGAAGGAGCATGGGTGTGTGGACAGGACCCTGTCTCTAGCAGAGGTTAGAGTAGAAGCAACCTTCCCACAGCCTCTTCTCACTTTCTTCCACCTCTGTCTCTGATTTAAGGGCTCCATTCCTAAGCATGCCTGAGGAGAGTGTGGGAGGAGGTAGTGCAGTCCATTTTGCAGATGGGAAACCTTTCAGCTCAGAGAAGTAGGCAGCTTGTCCAAAGTCACTGGAATCAGGGCTCGTGGGACCCCTAAACCCTGTGCCCTTCCTATATTGTTAGCCTGCCACCCACAGAATTTTCCATGAGGTACATTGCTTTTTGCCTTTGGGGTATCTGAGGCCTGATTTGAGGCTTGACTGCTCTGAGACCTTATACAGGAGTCTTGTGTCCTGAACATTCTCCTTCTGACTCTGAGAACATATTGCTTATTTCTTGTGGCTTTTGTAGAAGCTGTGGAGTATGAAGGTAAAGGGAGGAGAGTATGGTAGTGTAGTTCCCATTGCAGAAGAGCTGTGTTAAGAAAGCACCCTGAGACCACAGCCCCAGTCCTCATCCTCTCTGCTGAATTCACTCTAGCCACAAGCCTCACTGCCTGGCTGCCATGTCAGCAAGGGGCAGATAGGATCTAGGAGGAGGGCATGCCTTGCTCTCCTGGAAACTTCTTCCCAGGCCTGTGTACCCAGCACAACAGGTCGCTTCCTGAACATGTCAGTACAGGCAGCCTTGCCACACTGCCTCCAGTGTATCCCTGTGTCTGTGGCCAGCCCTCTGGGCCGCTTGCTCTTCCTGCTATCCAGGCTACTGATGCTCAGTTGTGTTAACGCACAGCAGGCGTGGACACTTGGTAACCACACTACAGCCGGAGAGACAAATCCTACAGTGTGTCAGGCCCTGGATGTGTCCCCTCTAAAGGGAAACTCATAGAGGTTCAGTGGCAGCCCAAGGCTGATACTCATTAAATGATGAATGGAGGTTTGAATGGAAACCCAATGACTATTTATTTTTTTGGTCAGTCATGGGGCTGGACCTGGGTGCTGTCCCTGAGTTCTTCAGCTCAAGTTGATTGCTGTACCACTTGAGCCACAGTGCCACTTATGGTTTTCTGGTAGTTAATAGGAAGTAAGAGTCTCATGGACTTTCCTGCCTAGGCTGGCTTTGAACCATGATCCTCAGACCTCAGCCTCCTGAGTAGCTAGGATTACAGGCTACAGGCCACTGGTACCCAGCTCCCAATGACTCTTTAAAGAGTCATTGAACCCCCAAAGTTAGATGCAAGATTTAATATATCTATTTTATCAGTTGTGGGGCTTGAACTCAGGGCCTGGGTGCTGTCCTTGAGCTTTTGTGCTCAACACTAGGACTCTACCACTTTGAGCCACAGCTTCACTTCCTAGATGCCAGATTATATGCAAAATCATCTTGATATTTTTTTTGTGGAGAAAGTCCATAGCTGTCCTAAGACTCTTAGAGGGACATACAGCCTCAGAAAAAGAAGGAACAGAGATTTAGAGAATAGAGCAACTTAAATCTAGGACCCCAGCTTCCCAGCCCCCTGACTAGACTGCTCTACCAGCTCCCCTTTGTCCCCACTTGCACTCAGAAGCCACCATTCTCTCTGTCTTAGTGGGTCAGGTTTTGAGTAGCATGTATAGCCTCAACCCACGCAGGTGCACCCAATGGGGTCTGGCCCCAAGCTGTAGGTTAACAATCGTGCCCAACCACAGCCTAGAAACCTGCCTGAGCGAGTCTTCTCAACATCATTATGCAAGTGGGAGTCAGGCCTAGGTGGGGATGGGCAGGTCTGCTAAGCTGCTGCTAATTACTATCCCCTAGGAGCATCCCACACCTGCCTGCAGAGGCTCACCTGCTATTGAAAAGACTGCCCCACCTATCCCCAGCCTCCCTCTGGCTGGACCAGAGGTTTTACTATTTGTTGTGCATGGAGCCCTCTGATATTTCAGTGAATGCTGTGCGTGCGCTCTCTCTCTCTCTCTCTCTCTCTCTCTCTCTCTCCCTCTCTCTCCCTCCCTCTCCCTCCCTCTCCCTCCCTCCCTCCTCCCCTCCTCCTTTCTTTTGTGCCACTATTGGGGCTTAAATTCAAGCTATTTTTGCTTAAGCCTGCTGTTCTACCACTTGAGCCACAGCTCCACTTCTAGCTTTTTGGTGATTAATTGGCAATAAGTGTCTCATAGACTTTGCTATCTGGCCTGTCTTCCAACTGTGACCCTCAAATCTCAGCCTCCTGAGTAGCTAAGATTAGAGGTGTGAGTCACTAAGGCCAGGCTTTACTTTGTTTTATTTATTTTTATTTGCTGGTGCTGGAGTTTGAACCTAGGACTTTACTTACACTTGCCAGGCAGGCACTCCACTAAGCCACACATCCAGTTCTTTCTTTTTGCTTTTAAATTTGTAATAATACTGTACAAAGAACATTGGGTTTCAAAGGAAATCAGTGATGTGGAAATAAGGATCTAATGGAGTTAGTAGGCCTGAGTGCCTTGTGCCTGTAGTGCAGATATTAAAGGAAAGGAAATGAGGATGCAGATTCAAGGCCTGGATGGAGATTCAAGGCCTGCCTGGTCAACAAAGTTACTGAGATTCCATATCAACAAGTAAGCTAGATGTGGTGGTCATTTCTGTAATCTGAGCTACAAGCAAGGAATAAGTAAGAGGATCATTGTTCCGGCCATTTAAAAAAAAAAAAAAACCTGCAAGATCCTATATGAATCATAACTGAGGGGGCTGGGAATGTGGCTTAGTGGGTTCAATTCCTCAGTAGCACATACACAGAAAAGGCCAGAAGTGCTGCTGTGGCTCAAATGGTAGAGTGCTATCCTTGAGCAAAAGAAGCTCAGGGACATTGCCCAGACCTTGAATTCAAACCCCAGGACTGGCAGAAAAAGAAAAAAAAAGCAGAACTGAAGGGAAAAGGGCTAGGGCTTGGCTCAAGTGGTAAAAGTACCTGCCTAGCAAGCATGAGGCCCTGAGTTCAAGCTATAGTATTGCCACCCAAAAAAGTATTAAACTTGCAGGCATTTATAGTTAAAAAAAATCTAGCAGCAAGTATAATACTTAGTAATTCTTTTTCTTGTTGTTGTTGTGGGGCTTGAACTCTGGGCCTGGGTGCTGTTCCTCAGCTCTTCAGCTTAAGGCTAGCGCTCTACCACCACTTCCAGCTTTTCTGTGTATGTGGTGCTGAGGAATCAAACCCAAGGCCTCATGCATGTGAGGCAAGTACTCTACCACTGAGCCACCTTCCAGCCCAATACTTACTAATTCTTTTTATTAAACTGTTGTGAGACCTGGAAGCATTTTTTAATTAGCTTTTCAATCATCTTCTGGAAAGAAACATTCTGTGAAACATTACTTTTTAAAAAATGACTGTGGCTGGGAATGTGGCTTAGTGGTAGAGTGCTTGCCTAGTATGCAGGAAGCCCTGGGTTCGATTCCTCAGTACCACATAAATAGAGAAAGCCATAAGTGGCACTGTGGCTCAAGTGATAGAGTGCTAGCCTTGAGCAAAAGAAGCTCAGGGACAGTGCCCAGACCCTGAATTCAAGCTCCAGGACTGGCAAATAAACAAATAACTGTGATAAGGTATAGTCACTAGTGGGTATCATAAAGCTGGTACAGGGTATTTTCCATTTACAGAGGTATGACATAGCCCTTTCCTACATCTCTAATACTAGGGGAAACAATGAAAAAGACACTGATTGAAACTTGACTCTCCTTTTCTAGCAGAGGGCCCAAAAGATGTCATGTTCTTAGATAAGATTTCCTTTCATTAGTCACCCAATTCTCACGTTCTTCATGAACGCCAGCTAAAAACATTAAAAAAAATTAAAAGCCAGGAACCCTCCCCAAAAGAAACAAACCCAAAAGCAAAACAAAAACCCACAACTGAATTTCATACATAGCCAAATGAAGGCAAGTAGGATTCAACATAACTGTATTTTACCAAATCAATCATGGGGAATCTTTGAATGGTAAGGGTTTTGTAAAAGGAGATGCCAAGTAGCGCTTCAAAACCTCAGACCAGGGCTGGGAAGGTGGCTCAGTGGTAGAGCACTTGCCTTGCATGCTCGAGGCCCTGGGTTCGATTCCTCAGCACCACATAAGCAAAAAGAAAAAAGCTGGAAGTGGCGCTGTGGCTCAAGTGGTAGAGTTCTAGCCTTGAGCTGAAGAGCTGAGGGACAGCACCCAGGCCCAGAGTTCAGGCCCCATGACCGGACCCAAAAAAAAAAAAAAAAAACACCTCAGACCACAATCAAAGCACCAGTCAAACACCACTCATTTAGATGTGTTCAAGGATGCTGACATTAATCACCAGCACATGTATTCAGGAAAAGGGAGAACAGTTATCACTGTCCTTTGATTGTGTTCAACCCAATCACCCATGTTACAAAAATAGCAAGCTTCTCTACCCAGTACTAGGTATTTTCATTTCCTCTCCAAACCTACAAATTTCCGTATTGATCTCTGAAGAATGTAAGGAAGCAAAGAAACCATATCTGAAGCATTAGCTTCCTCCTTATTCTAGTGTTTCATCTATTTACAGAATTTTTTTGTCAGTCATGGGGCTTGAAATCAGGGCCTGGGCACTGTCCCTGAGCATTTTTGCTCAAGGTTAGCACTCTACCACTTAGAGCTACAGTGCCACTTCTGGAGGTTGATTGGAGATAAGAGTCTTACAGACTTTTCTGCCTGGGCTGGCTTCAAACTATGATCCTAGATCTCAGCCTCCTGAGTAGCTAAGATTACAGGCATGAGCCATCAGCACCCAGCTCATAGACTTTTTTAAGTTGAAAGCATATGCACTTAAGCACTATGTGCATGTATTCGTATATAAGTTCTGATGGCTTTGCTGGGTTCTAGAGGCTCATGCCTGTAATCCTAGCTACTCAGGAGCCTGGGACCTGTGGTTTGAAGCCAGCCCAGGCAGGAAAGTTGGTGAGACTCTTACTTCCAGTTAACCACCAAAAAGCTAGTAGTGGAGCTGAGGCTCAAAAGTGGTAGAGTGCTAGCCTGGAGCAAAAAAGCTCAGGGATAGTGCTTAGGCCTTGAGTTTAAGCCTTAGGACCTACAGACACACAAATGAAAAAAATTTAAAGTGAGAAACCCTGAATTCAAGTCCCAGTACTGACCCATGTGCACACACACTCACATGCAGGCACGTGTGTGCACGCACGCAAGTCTAATGGTTTAAGTAGTGATGCAAAATGAGTTCCCAACATATCTGCAACAACTATAACATGATGTGAAAATACTTTTGTCATCCATTGTGTTCCTGTCAACAGACAGTGCTGAGACTTCTGCAGTTTGTTATACCCATAAGAGCTAAGCCTCCATGAGAGATGAGTGCAGATTTACATGTCACTTGCTACCCTAGCCCTGGCCATCAACACTGTGTCGCCAGACTGTACATTACACTCATTTTGTTTTCTCAACATCCTGGAAGGAAGTAGAGCTCAGGTCTGAGCAGTGGCAGTATGTGACAGGACCACAGTGCTCACTATTGTCCTGTCTGCATGGACACTGAGCATCACAGATTGCCCTGCACCACAGGCCTCACGACACGAGGTGCTTTGTGATCCCATGCTGTACAGGGAGACAGGCTGTGAAGTGAGTGGGCTCTTCACTGCATTGAGAGTGTTTACGTCTCGTGGGTCTCGTGACTTCAGTTCCCACTGCAGCCCATGACCTAAGAAGGAAGAATAAGGGACAGCCTTTCCAAAGGAGAACAAGGACTAGACTCTGAGAAAGAAAGATTTGATGGATTTTCTTTTACTTTATTTAATTGTTTTTGTCAGAGACCCGAACTTGAACTTGGTATCTGAGGCTTTCAGTCATTGGCCAGCGCTCTACCACCTGAGCCACACTCCCATCCCCAGATCTGATCATTTTGTCCAATAAAACTTTCCATGTTGGTGGCTGGGGCTCTACCTGGTTCTTCCTCCCAAGGAGTTCAGGGAAGCTTCTATTACAGGGAATCTGATGAGAGGGGCAGATGATAAGAGAAATGAGAAGGGCTGAAACTGAAATGCTTTCCTTGGGATCCTATCTTTTTTTTTAATGTGTGCCATCCCTGGGGCATTAACTCATGGCCTGGGCACTGTCCCTGACCCTTTGTACTCAGGGCTAGTGCTCTTCCACTGGAACTACAACTCTACTTCCAGCTTTTTTGGTATTTCATTGGAGGAAAGAGTTTCATAGACTTTCCTGTCCAGACTGTCCCTGAATCTCAATCCTGAGCTCTCAGCCTGCTGAGTAGCTAGACTGACAGGTATGAGACACTGGTTCCTGGCCCCATCCATCTTTTCATTCTCTGTCTAGGTTGCTTTAGCCACATAGTAAGAATAGGTAGGCAAGAACACCTCCCTCCCAGGGATACCAGCCCTCCATGCATAGGCCCTGTCAGTCCCTCTAGCCCTGCTACCTCTAAGGGAGCTGGGGTTTACTGGCATTTAGGTCTTCATGCTGCTCACACTCCAGTGTGAACCACACAGACCCTGCTCTGGTCCTCCTGCTGCACTCACCAATTGCCACAGGGACTCCAGTCCCTGCAGGGTGTGGGGCTGTGGTGGAGCCTGGCCAGCCCCAAGCAAGGGGACCTGAGGCAAGCTGCTGAACAATGTGACTTTGTAAGCAGCCTAAACATAGATGTGGCATTTTGCCCAGCTGCCTGAGGAATGCCACAGTTGCCTGTACCAGGGGATGTGACCTGCAGATATTTTCCAGGACTCACCTTCCCCGTGTGTGATGTCCCTTCCATACTGCCCCCAGAACCAGAGGCTTGGTCACTCTATCCAGCTGGTTCTGGGTTTTAGCATGGCTCTTACATCCAGAATAGGACTGGCTTTGGGAAGAGATGTGACAAGGGTGCCATTTCTCTGCCCTTAGGCTCACAGAGCCTGTCCTCTCCCGGGCCTTCTAGAAGAACTGCTCATTATGGTAGAAGAGGGCACTGAATTCCTGGGCCAGGCCTCTCCCACACCTCTTCTACCAAGCATGGGTCCTGCTGTCCCTTGGTCTCTGCTGAGTTTCAGAGGACAAAGATTCTCTCCACCCCAGTATGAAGAACTCAGAGGGGCAAGATCCCCTCTGAGGGATAGACTGATCCTGAGCTAGGCCTGAAAGGCAAAGCAAACACTGGAGAGAAAGCAGCCCTGACAAGGGCAACTAGGGGCAGGCACACCATGAGAATAAACCATGCAGGTTCACACTTCCCTTCCCTCTGGTGTCGGGTTCAGCCCATGGCCAGCAGGCCCAGGACCCAGAGATCTGCAGAAGAGTCTTTCAAGCATTCTGCTGGGATTGGAGGGGAAGCAGACTTCCGGCTTTGGCCTGGGATTGCCTGGCCCTCCCTTGTGTTGGACAGAGCCAACTCTCTTCCTGTTTCACAAGTTCCTATGAGGTCCCTCTGGCGCATCTCTGAGACATCTCGTCTTTTGTGAACTTCTGAAGCCTACCACAGAGTGCGCACTTCAGAATCAGATCCCAGTTTGAATGCTAGCTCTGCTGCTGTCCTCTTGGGGGACCTGAGCAAGTCACCTCTCCTTCAGCTTCAATATTCTCATCTCTAAAATGAGAATAAAGGTCACTGGCTTAAACCAGGCCTGAGAAGTACAGAGCCACCTGGGAGCTGTCTCCTCCCTTGATCCACAGTGATTTTGCTGAGCCAGCAGCACAGGGAGAGCTGTGGGGAGGGACCATGGGCACAACTCTACAGGAGGCTGCTCCCTCCTCTAATACCGCTGCCCACACACCACGGAGCCCATTACCCCCTCAGCACCAAGACTGCCTGGCAGAATCTAGATCACGCTGGGGTCCATGGCCTTGCCTCCTCCCCAGGCTAAGTGCTCCAGGAAACAGTAGGAGGACTGAGCCTCACCTGTGGCTGCCCCCCCACCCCCCCCAGGAGTGGCCTGCAGCCTCATCCTCATGTACACCTTCTGTACCGACTGCTGGCTCATCTCCGTGCTCTACTTCACCTGGCTGGCATTTGACTGGAACACACCCAAGAAAGGTAAGCTCCTACTCCCCCTCCACAGCCACAGCTAGTCCTCTTCATTTCCTCATGGGTGCAGCCTTGTTTTATGTAACACACCTATTTTACGGACAGCTCAGGGCAGGGCCGTGTGCAGCCTTGGGTGGGGGTTCAGAGGTCCAGTTAGCACCTTCCATCAAGGCTTTCATAATCCTGGGAATGTGTGTGGGAAGGAGCCTGTTGGGCAGGGAGGAAGATGCAGCATGGGCCTGAGGGGTGCCTCCTGCAGGGGCTCACACTAGCTCTCTCTTGTGTGCGTTACCCAAATGTCCCACACCTTCACTTCTTACTAACACTGTGTTTTGTTCCCTGGAAGGTGGCAGGAGATCACAGTGGGTACGGAACTGGGCTGTGTGGCGCTACTTTCGTGACTACTTTCCCATCCAGGTAAAGACTTGTGGGTGGTAACTTGGGAGGGTGGGAATGGAAGGAAACTTGAACTCAGGACTTAACCCACCCCTGTACAATGACCATATCTGTGGAGTTGATGTGAGCTCTTCTCCTATGAGCATCAGGTTATGTTATTCTTGCCTTTTGAGTTACATAGTACCATACTAGATAAGGAGAAAGACTTGGAGCAGGAGGATTCTAGTATGTCAGCTATAAGGGAAGAGTAAGTTCCTTCAGTTGAACTTCACATTCAGCTTTGAGCTTCCTGGCAGTCAAGGCAAAAGAGAAACATAATAGTCATTGACTTTGTTTGGGGAAGGCAAGTTTCTAGTTGTTGTTATTGTTGGGGAAACAAGACTTGTTTTAGCTTTTGGATCTAAGAGATCCAGCAGGATGATACAGCTGCATATATTATGGTCATTGTGTGCATATATTATGGTCTTCTGTGACTTCAGAACATAGTTTACAATGAGGGTGGTTTATCCCGAGCAGCAGTATCAAGGTATGTCAAGTTTATCTAGCCTGAACTAGGTCTAGAAGTTACACGTGTGGTGTGAGAGGCTTTGTTTCCTTTGTTTCCTTCCAAAGGTCTTAAAGAACTGTCACTTCTCTCTTCCATTCACTGGGGTCATAGCCATGGGGATGAGCAGTAAACAAAGGACAAGCCCCCAAGGTTGGAAAGTAGTTTTGGAAGGGTTTGGTCTAGAGCTGCTTTGAGGATGTGTGGCACTGAGGAGCCAGGGGAAACTGAGAACAGAGGTCTTGGGTTTGAAAAACAGGGTGGGGCTGTTGGTTGGTAAAGACAACAGAGAAGATGGAGAGTGTGTGTTTATTAGGAGCCAGCACTTTTTCTCATGGCAGCCTAGAAGGCAGCCCTGAACTCTGTCCTTTTCTCCTGAAGAAGAGCCGCAGGGTCAGAGAGTCGCCAAGATTTCCTGAGATTACAATTGCCATCTTGCTTGAAAGCCTAGGCTTCTCCCAGCCTAGGACGAGGCCTCTCTGTACATCAGAGCTGTGAGAGGTCAGCTGGAGGAGTGACTTGGGCTTCCCACAGGCTGGGGGTATGGAGACAGGATACAGGATGAGCCTATTATGGCTAGAGTGGGAGCCTGTCTTCCAGGACACAGCAGCCCCCACCCCCACCCCAGGAAGCAAGTTTAGACCCAAATGGTCCTTGTATTTCCTTCTTGTGACACCCTAGGCTGCTTGAGGGCCTCCATGGTGCTACTCTGAGCACTTGAATGCCTTGGCTCTATCTGTTTCCCTGCTGGATTTGCAAGCTGAGGGATGAAGCAGAGCTGCCTGGCCTTGACACAAGTGGCTGATGCAAGAGGATTGTGGGCTGTCCTGGTAGAGCCTCCCTCAAGCACCCAGTCCTGGCACACCCAAGCCCCAAAGCTGCCCAGCAGAAAGCAGGGGCCTAAAGGTGGAGGTAGCATGTGAACCTGAAAGTGTCCTATGCATGATGCAGGGAGGTGTACCAGGGTTGTGAGTCAACACAGAGACCTCCTGTCCTGCTGCCTGGAGGTGCATTCCTGCACTGCTTGCAGTTTTGTGGTGGCCCTCTAGGGCCACTCCCTCTTCCCACCTGGCCCTGACCAGGCCCTTCCTGTCTCTCAGGGTCACAGTTTCCTCTCCTCCCTGTTCTGACACCCATGTCTGAATGGTCTGAGATTGCTATAGCTGGAGAGAACCTCTCATTTTGGAGGTTAAGTCTGAGTCCCAGAGGGTCAGGACTTGTCCATTCTATACAGCAGGAATGTTAGAGTCCAGGCTCCTGAATCCGGCTCCCATCACCTGTTTCCCATCCAAGAGAGATTCAGTCCCTAGATCTCCACTGCCTTCTTTCCCTCTGCTATTGAAGACATGGGTCTAAGTCCCTGAGTTGTCCTCCTATTCACTGACAAGCCATTGAGTTTGTCTGTTGTTGGCTCTGTGCTAGCCCTGCAGACACAGAAGAGTGAGCCCTGTGCCTGCCTTTGGGATGGGCTTACTGTCTGATGAATCCTTCTAGACTGTCTCTTTTTGTACAGACTTTCAAGCTCACTGAGAGTCATTTGCTTCCTCTTTTCAATGGAGCTGTTAAGTGACATACCCTTGTGTCACAGTTGAGAGGGACAATAATGGGTTCCATTCTTTTGTCTCTTTCTTTCCTGCCCTAGGAGTCAGGCTACTGTGTTCTCTCTTGTGGCTGTAGCTTCATCCCCAGAAGATTTCCTGGAGGCTGGAAGCCCTCTTACCCAGATCAGGGTGACTTGATGGCCATTGGTCAGACCTGATGGTTGGTCAGTTGTCCTTCCCCCCCAACATCTCTACCCTTCCAAAAGAACCCAGACACGCCAGGTGCTGGTGGCTCACACCTGTAATCCTAGCTACTCAGGAGGCTGAGATCTGAGGATCGCAGTTCAAAGCCAGCCCAGGCAAGAAAGTCCATGAGACTCTTATCTCCAATTAACCACCAGAAAACTGGAAGTGGTGCTGTGGCTTAAGTGGTAGAGCACTAGCCTTTTTTTTTTTTTTTTTTTGGGTCCGGTCATGGGGCCTGAACTCTGGGCCTGGGCACTGTCCCTCAGCTCTTCAGCTCAAGGCTAGCGCTCTACCACTTGAGCCACAGCACCACTTCCGGCTTTTTTCTTTTTGCTTATGTGGTGCTGAGGAATCGAACCCAGGGCCTCATGCATGCAAGGCAAGTGCTCTACCACTGAGCCACCTTCCCAGTGAGCACTAGCCTTGAGCTGAAGAGCTGAGGGACAGCATCCAGGCCCGGAGTTCAAGCCCCACGACTGACCAAAAATAATAATTAAAAAAAAAAAAGAACCTAGACACACCCCATGTCCTCTGTCCCTTCTGTGTTCTGAGAAGCCAGTTGGGATTGAAGCCAGGGTATGGGCAAGCTGGCACCAGGACAAAAACCAAGTGTGATCCTGTTGTCCTACGCCCTTATAGTGATCTGTCACTTACCTCCTCGCCCTCCCCACTCCTTCCTGGTAAGGCTCTGGCTCTTTGCCTCCAAAGCAGCCCAGCTGGTCTGGAGAACACTTTTCCTGGCATAGATTAGTACTCAAGTGTCAGCAGCAGCCACCTGGAAGAAGGTGTCCTGGATCACCCCTCCTTGAGATATATGAAGGACCTTTGGAGAGCAGGCTTGGAAAGACTCTTAAATTTCAAATCATTTGTCTGTCCAACTGCTTTATTTCACAGATGGGCACTCTGAGGCCCAGAGAGGAGGGACTTGCCTGCACAGTCATGAAACAATCAATGGCAAATGGCTTAGGAGCCAGGGCTGCCTGCTTCAGGCTGCTCCACTTCTGTGTTCTGCCTCTCCCTGCCTCTCTCCATATGAGGCTCAGAGCCTTCCTTGCTGTGGAGCTGGGGGAGGACAAGCCTCCCTGAGCACCTTTTCTGTCCTAGGAGGCAGGGTATGTGACCTGCCAGGAATGTCTCCCAGTCTCACATTGGCCAGTAGGCTTGGCATGGACACCCTGTTAGGCTGGGACTTGGCCATGAGAACAGGCTTGTCAACAGAACTCAGCAGCAGTGCCCTTCCTCCCTCTGGAGTGGACGTTCTGTCCACTGCTAGGTGAGGGGAGTGTGACCAGGCCACCGATGAGAGCTCTATCAGATGTTTCCATTCTTCTGGTACCAAGGGCATTAACCTATTGGGCATCATGCAGAGCCTCATGGAGCCACCTGGCCCATCAGATAGAGCCCACCAGGTAACACATTTTCATCACAGAGGTCAGGGAGAAGTACAGCGAGGTGGCCTCCTGGGGTCAGTTGCAGGGCCTCTCTGTAGGCCACAGTGTTTACCTTGGCATCCAAGGAATGGCCAGATCTGTAGGCTTTGTGGTCCATTCTATGCTTCAGCTATAGGTAACAGGCCTGGGTCTGGCTGTCAATCAGGAACAAGTTTCCAGACTTGGGTTTCTTCTAGGAAGAAGAGGCACCTGGGCTCTTCTCTTCATGCTTTCCTTTCTGTGGGAACTGTCCCAAAGTGCCTTTTAATTCTGGCTTTATTGAGGGCTAGGTAGGTGGGCAGCCCTCTCTGGCAAAGGCAACACCCCTAGCCTTACACAGCCTTGTAGAGCCCTCATTGCTTCCAGCCCTGCCCTTCCATAGTCATTGGGTGGACAGCAGAGAGCTATCAGAGTTCTCAAGCAGCTTCGATCTGTTTCCAAAGGCAGGTTAAGACAGGAAGTCCCAGGCTCATTCCTGTAATCTGAGCTACTCAGGAGTCTGAGATAAGAGAATCAGGTTCAAAGCCAGCCTTGGCAGGAAAGTCTCTGAGACTCTTAAATTAACCACCAAAAAGTTGAAATTAGTGCTGTAGCTAGAATGGTAGAATACTAGCCTTGAACAACAACAACAAACAAAAAGATCGGGGATAGGACAGGACAGCACTCAGTTACTGAGTTCAAGTCCTAGGATTGCCCTCACCTCCAAAAAAGAGGGAATACCTTACACTAGGGGTGACCCTAAGGGAATCTGGTTTACATTCATTTTTGAATATTTTTAATTTTATTTTGTTATTTTGTCATTCACGGGGCTTGAACTCAGGGTGTAGGCGCTGTCCTTGAGCTTTTTCTGCTCTGGGCTAGTGCTCTACCACTTTGAGCCACACCACCACTTCCTGGTTTACATTCATAATACAGGCCTCAGCAGAGTGGGGAGGGGTATTTACCACTCCATTCCATTTTCATTTTCCCCTCCCTCCTTCTCTCCCTCCTTCCTTCCCTTCCTTCTTCTTTATTGTTATTATAAAGGTGATATACAGAGGTTACAGTTACATAAGTCAGGTAAAGAATACATTTATAGCCAGGCACTGGTGGCTCATGCCTATAATCCTAGCTACTCAGAAGGCTGAGATATGGGGATCATGGTTTGAAGCCAGCCGGGGCAGGAAAGTCCATGAGACTGTTAACTCCAATAAACTACTTAGAAAAAGTTGGAAGTGGCGCTGTGGCTCAAGTAGTAGATAGCGCTTAGCCTTTAACATAGAGAGGCTCAAGTCCTGAGTACCAGGTCCTGAGTTCAAGCCCCAGGACCAGCACAAAAAAAATTTACTTTTGGACAATGTCACCTTTCCCCTCCGATCCCCACTCACGAGTTGTATAGCATTTAGTATATAGTGTCTAGTGAGTACCACTGCTACATTTGTTCACCCTTAGTCCCTTCATTTCTGTGGTCTCCCTTACCCTCCCAAAGACAGATAAATGAACAAACAGGACAAAAAGAAAAACAGTTGCACTTGCTTTCTTTCCCTTTCTTCCTTCCTTCCCTCCCTCCTTCCTTTCCTTCCCTCCTTCCTTCCCTCCCTCCTTCCCTCCTCTCTCTCTTTCTCTCCCTTCCTTCCTTCCTTCCTTTCTTTCCTTCTTTTCCCTCCCTCCCTCCCCTCTCTTTTTTCTCTTTCTCCCTTCCTTCTTTCCTTTCCTTCTTTCCCTCCCTCCCCTCTTTCTCTCTCTCTCCCTTCCTTCCTTCCTTCCTTTCCTTCTTTTCCCTCCTTCCCCTCTTTTTTTCTCTCTCCCTTCCTTCTTTCCTTTCTTTCCTTCTTTTCCCTCCCTCCCTCCCCTCTTTTTTCTCTCTCTCCCTTCCTTCTTTCCCTTCCTCCCCTCTTTCTCTCTCCCTCCCTCCCTTCCTTCCTTCTTTCTTTTCCCTCCCTCCCCTCTCTTTTTTCTCTCTCTCCCTTCCTTCTTTCCTTTCCTTCTTCCCCTCCCTCCCCTCTTTCTCTCTCCCTTCCTTCTTTCCTTCCTTCCTTCCTTTCTTTCTTTTCCCTCTCTCTCTCTCTCTCTCTCTCTTTCTTTTTTCTTTCTTTTCTTTCTGTGTGCCAGTAATGGGGCTTGAACTCAGGACCTCTTTCTCTTGCTTGACTTTTTTGCAGAAAGCTGACACTCTTACCAGTTGAGCCACACTTCAATTTCAGACAGGCTTTTTGCTTGTTAATTAGAAATATGACTCTCTTGGATTTATGTATTCAGAAAAGTCTCAAACCTCTGCTCTTCAGATCTCAGCCTTCTGAGTTGCTCAGATTATTGGCATGTGCCACCAGCACCTGCATTTCATTTTTCTGAGGCCATCACCAGGCACTCTGCTCCCCAAATTGAGTGCAAGAACTTTCACTTTTAGCCCCAAAAGTTCCCAAATATCTCTAAACAAGCATCCTAGACTCACATGTGCTGCTTTGGCTCAGGAAAGTTAGATTTGTGGAAGTTTATCTCATGAAAACAGGAATGAGCACAAAGAGAAGGTATTTATTGAAGCATAGCTTCACATAGGAAATTTGAACACTAAAAATGGCCATCAATCTGGACATGAGGCAGTGCTGCTACATGGGCATAGCTTTGTCAGATAGGCACAAGGCTGTATCTGATAGAAATGAGGGAGGTCATGTCGTGCTTTATTTTCCTGTGGTCTATACATTCTTCCTGAGTAGTATTTTTCTAATCAGAAAACTCTTACTGTCCCTTCCACTTGGCACCCCTCCCTCCTCAGCCCAGTCCTGTATGTCTTGCCTTTGCTTGGTCAGGGATACTTTGTACTGCCCCAGGGGCCTCAGGGCATGCCATGGGTCCTGAGGAAGCCCACTGTTCTTTGGAGCATCCCAGGACAACTGTGTTGACAATGGCACAGGTCAGGTTGTCAGCTGATGCACCTATGCACCTTCACCCCCTCCCCCATCCTCCACCCCCTAGGACTGGCTGGTACAGGGCTGACATTTGCTCTGTCCTGTCTTTCTTGCCTCAGAACCTGAGCAGAGCCTGGCTGCCTGGCAGGAAGTTTCCGTCAGGCCAGCTGTTTTGTTCCTTGGCTACTGGAGGAGTAGGAGGTGGGCTACTAGTCACTGTTGTCCTGTAAGCCACTGATGAGTCTTTAGGATACCAAGCCAGACAGACCCTTCTTCCAGGGAGCTCCCAGGCAGGGAAGGCTGACTGTGGCTGACAGAACTGCCGCTGAGTCCCCTCTTGCTAAAGGAGACTCTTCCCCTGAGGAAAGCGGACACCCTTTTTAGTCTGAGTGGGCCGGGTTGGATTTGAATTTTAGAGCAAATCACTCTGGTTGAGGTGGGGAAGATGAACCCAGAGACAAGAAGGCAGGAGGATGGCCAGATGTGAATAAATGATCCCTGTGTTGGGGCCGGGGGCGGGCTGGGAAGCACAGGGGAATGAGAGTCCCAATAATGGCCCCAATGATGAGAGTCTGAGGTTAAGTTTGCACAGCCACTACAGTCCGTTGGGCCCACAGAGTCCCTTCCCCACCTTTTAGACATGCCTTGGTCGGTACCCTTTTCCTGGACATTTGTCTCTGACCCATGGCTTTCTTTGCAGCTGGTGAAGACGCACAACCTAGTAACGACCAGGAACTACATCTTTGGGTACCACCCTCATGGCATCATGGGCCTAGGAGCCTTCTGCAACTTCAGCACAGAGGCCACCGAAGTGAGCAAGAAATTCCCTGGCATAAGACCCTACCTGGCCACACTGGCTGGCAACTTCCGGATGCCTGTGTTGCGGGAGTACTTGATGTCAGGAGGTGAGACTCTCGGTTGCTCACCCTTGCCAAAGCCTACAAGCAGGGTGGCACACAGAAACGAACACTGTTCCACTGGTGCTGGTGCCCTGTGGGGAGATGCAAGTTACTACAGACACCTAGGTTAGGGAGATCGGCTCATGGGGTCTTTAAGAGTCATGCTGGCTCCCTTTTCTGAACATACCAACCCTTGTACTGTGTGTTACAACCTGGTCATTGTCTATCTGCCATGATCCACAACTGCCTGACTCATGGGAGCTTCAGCACCAAGCACCAGCCTGGCAGAGTTAGGACCCCAGAGAATGTTTGTTCAGTTGAATTCCCCACCTACCTCCTATCATTCACCTCATTTTACAGATAAGCTGAGGCTCAAAAGATAATTAGCATAGGGCCATACAGGTATGGAGTTCAAGGATAGGTTTTGTTTTCTATTTGTGCACGTGGGCAGTGAATGCATCCATGTGCAATCCTGATCTGTGTCCCTTTTGCCCTTCCAGGCATCTGTCCTGTCAACCGGGACACCATAGACTATCTGCTTTCAAAGAACGGGAGTGGCAATGCCATCATCATCGTAGTAGGGGGTGCAGCTGAGTCTCTGAGCTCCATGCCTGGCAAGAATGCAGTCACTCTGCGGAACCGCAAGGGCTTTGTGAAACTGGCCCTGCGCCATGGGTAAGCGCGCCTGTGCATGCAAGCACACACCTCCAGTGCTCTCCTCGGGCTAGGCAACAGGCCGTTGGGCCTCTGGAAGGGAGGAGGGCACATGTTCTAAGAAAGCAAAGAAGGGAGGGAAGGTTGGAAGCTGGCCTGCGTAATGTGGGCCAAGTGTGCTCATGTATAGGTGAGACAAAGGTTTAGCCTGTGACCCTTGGGTTCTTGTAGGTAGAGTGAGTGGCCAGGCTCATAAGTAGGGTGTGTAAAGACTTACAACCTGAACTTAGGGGCCAGGGTGTGGCTCAGTGGTAGAGCAAGTGCCTAGCATGTTTTGTCAGTGGCTTTAAACCCTAACACTCCCCTTCCCCCCCCCCCCAAAAAAAAGGAAAAAGAAAGAAAAAACACCTAAGGCCAAAAGGAGCTGGCATGGTTAGAAATGAGAGGGAAGGTTCATAGGAGGGTAACTTGGAGGTCAGGGGAGGAGCTGAACTGTGACCCTTTCCAGAAAAACCAAGGACACATTGGCATTATCCCCTGTTCACATCTGCTGCTGTGGCTCTCTTTGACTCCTGAGCAGCCTGCACAAGGAGACTGCATCCCCACCTGCTTAGTCTGTCGGGGGCAGAGCCAGTTCAGAGTAAGGTGTTTGCTCTCCATATCTACTGCTTTCCTCCCAGATTTGGGGCTCTGGGCCCAAATCAGTTCTTAGGATGATGGACCTGCAGCTATGCAAAGGCTGGAATGTAGCCTACAGTCACAAGTTAGAGAGGGCACTTGGCCATGCCATGGAGGCTCCAGCTGTGTAGGAGTGTGGTCAAGGCAGAGCATCTCTTCGCTGCCCTCCCAGGACACATCTCGGACTTTAGAAGAGGCTTCTCTGCAGAACTTAGCCCTAAGTCTGCCCTTGGCCGACCAGTCTCTGCCTTTAGGGAACAGCAGCAGCTGTGGGAGTGGAGGGACACATGGTGAAAACACAGTGTGCTGAGTCTTTGACACAGGGTGGCTCCAGGGTGACTTCAGATTTGCCTGAGGTAGGCTGGGACAAGGAATCAGGCCCTGACTGATGGGGGCAAGTGTGGCCTTCCAGAGCAGGTATCCCTGTGTGATGAGCAGAGAGGCATAAGAATCTGGAGTGAAGACGCTGGGCACTGGTGGCCTATACCTGTAATCCTAGTTCCAAGCCTGTCCAGGCAGGAAAGCCCATGAGATGATTCTTCTTCCTCCTCTTCCTCTTCCCTCCTCGTCCTCGTCCTCCTCCTCCTCCCTCTTCCTCCCTCCCTCCTCCCTGCTTTTCCTTCCTCCCTCCTCCTCTTCCTCTTGTCCTCCTCCTCCTCCCTCCTCTTCCTCCTGTCTTCCTCCTCCTCCTCCTCCCTCCTCCTCTTCCTCCTGTCTTCCTCTTCCTCTTCCTGGTCCTCGCCCTCCTCCTCTCCCCCTCCTCCTCCCCCCTTCCTCCTCTTCCTCTTCCTCCTCCTCCTCTTCCTCCTGTCTTCCTCTTCCTCTTCCTGGTCCTCGCCCTCCTCCTCCCCCCTTCCTCCTCCCCCCCTCCTCCTCTTCCTCTTCCTCCTCCTCCTCCTCCTCCTTCTTCTTCTCTGATCTGAGGCTTGAACTCAGGGCCTGGGTGCTATACCTGAGCTTTTATTCAAGGCTAGTGTTCTACCACTTGAGCCATAGTGCCACTTGGCACTTGGAGATGAGTGGACTTTCCTGCTTAGACTTGCTTCAAACCAAGATCCTCATATCTAGCCTTCTGAGTAGCTAGGTTTATAGGTGTGAGCCACTACCACCTGGCATACCCCTGAGATTCTTATCTCCAACAAACTACCCAAAAAAAGCCAGAAGTAGAGCTGTGGCTCAAGTTATAGAGAGATATCCTAGAGCAAGGTCAGGGACAGTACCAGGCCCTGAGTTCAAGCCCCAGGACTGACAAGAAAAAAATAATCTGGAATGAAGGACCAGAGGTTCTGATCTACCCTAAGAATCAAGGGACAGCTTGCCTGGTGTCCAGGTCCTCTAGGGGTGACCATAGGAACTAAAGCCAGTTTCTGCAGTGTGACAGACCCTGACCTCTCTCTTGCAGAGCTGACCTGGTTCCTACTTACTCCTTCGGGGAGAATGAGGTGTACAAGCAGGTGATCTTCGAGGAGGGCTCCTGGGGACGGTGGGTCCAGAAGAAGTTCCAGAAGTATATTGGCTTTGCCCCATGCATCTTCCATGGCCGAGGCCTCTTCTCATCTGATACTTGGGGGCTAGTGCCCTACTCCAAGCCCATCACCACCGTAGGTGAGTCCCAGCCCACACACAGAAGGCCATCCAATGCACAGCAGGGTGGCTGGGAGGCTACCTGGCTCTGACCGCTTAGGTACTAGGAGTGGAGGTAGGAGGTGGCCAGTGGGGGTAGGGAGTAAAAAGCATAAAGTCCAGGGCCTGGAGCACAGTGTCTCACGAGGAAAGCCCTGCAGGCAGGTTGAGGGGGTGTTGCAGTAGATCCTATCAAGGAGGTGACTCTGGCACTGTTAGATAATAGGATTTATGTACTCACAAAAGGGCAGAAGAGAGTGCTATCAAAAAGAATGGCCTAGAGGAAGCTGGGCTACATACACTGTGGAGATCTCTGAAACTTAGAAGGCACAAATTAAGAGGATCATAGGTTGAAGCTGGCCCTGGCAAAAAGGGAGACATCCCTCCCCCTCTATGTCAGCCAGTAAGCTGGTGTTGTAAATCCAGCTATACAGGAGACATAGGTAGGAAGATCATGTCCAGGCTGATCTTAGGGAAAAATTAGAAACCCTATCTGAAAAGAAAAATTACAACAAAAAAGGACTGGTTCAAGTGAAACTATGAGTTCAAACTCTAATACTACAAAAAATAAAGAAAAAGAAAAGAAGAGTAGCCTAAAGGAAGTCCCAGTAACAGGATTCTGTGGCTTTTTGAGGAAAAGAAAAAAAAAAGCAGGGCTGGGAAGGTGGCTCAGTGGTAGAGCACTTGCCTCGCATGCCTGAGGCCCTGGGTTCGATTCCCCAGCACCACATAAGCAAAAAGAAAGAAGTCAGCAAGTCTTTGGGCTGGGAAGGTGGCTCAGTGGTAGAGCACTTGCCTCGCATGCATGAGGCCCTGAGTTCAATTCCTCAGCACCACATAAGCAGAAAAAGCTGGAAGTGGCACTGTGGCTCAAGTGGTAGAGTGCTAGCCTTGAACTGAAGAGCTCAGGGACAGCACCCAGGCCTGGAGTTCAGGCCCCACAACTGGCAAAAAAAAAGCAACTGGAACGTAGACCCATGAGAAGTGTGGCAAAACACTGGCTGTGCTGTTTTGGGTGTGTTTGGGACATGTTAGAGAATTTCAGTCTTATCACCTGCTGGGCACGTGTATGTGGTCATGGGTTGAAGATCACAGGCCAGAGATCATGTCAGTAGAGCTTGTGGACCTGAATAGTGCACTTCAAAGACCAAAGCTCTCCTAGACAGAGTGGAGGCAGCCGCACACACTTCCCCCACAGCACAGGTGTGGCTGGAGAGGGGACAGGTCCTGGGGCAGAGGAAGGCCTTGGCTTCTCATCTGGTATAAAGCTGGGAGGACTGGTTCTGGTGGACATTTTAAAGTGACCCCTGGGGCTGCTGAACAGCAAATGAGTTAGAACAGGCCTGATAGGAAGCCAGAGAACCAGTCTCCAGGCTTTCTTGGTGGTGGTGGCCTGTATCTTGGATGGATGGAGTGACAGGGGAGCTGGAGGAGAAACCTCACAAAGAGCATTTGACCTAGGGATGGGCTGGTTTGGAGATAAGCAGGATAAGAGAATAGAAACAGGCATAGAAGGGGAGAGTTGGTCCCCCCCCCACACACACACATACTTCTGTCCTTCCCTACTGTTCAAAGCACATTCCATTCTTCAGACGATCCTTAGTTAAGCCCTATGAGGAGGATTCCCCAGATGACAGATGAGGAAACATAGCTTTCCCTGAGTAGAGCCAAAGTAGAATGGTTCACTTGATTCCATGCTTTGCACGGTAGCTTCTGGCTGGGTATAGTGAGTTGATTTCATCTTCTCTTGATTTCTCTGCTGTGTGATCTTAGGCTGCTTCCTTCTCATGCTCTGGAGCCTCAGTCTTCTCAATCATAGAAGGAGATGGTCTGGGATGAAGCATAGTCCCTGCCAAGTGATTAGCATCACCCTGGACCCTTAGGAGGGATAGCTGATGGCATTTACTGACCTCATGCCTTTTCCATCCTTCCTCAACAGTGGGTGAGCCCATCACCATCCCCAAGCTGGAGCACCCAACCCAGCAGGACATTGACCTATACCACACCATGTACATGGAGGCCCTGGTGAAGCTCTTCGACAGGCACAAGACCAAGTTCGGCCTCCCAGAGACAGAGGTCCTGGAGGTGAACTAACCAATCCAGCCCTTGAGAAGTCAGCTCCTGGAAGGAACCAGCGGGCAAAATCGTTTTCTACCGAGCATTCTCAAGTGCTTTTTGTTCTGTAAATTTGGAAGCGTGATGGGTGTCTGTGGGTTATTTAAAAGAAATTATAATTTGTTAAACCATTACAATGTTAGGTCTTTTTTCAGAAGGAACAAGTCACTATCTCCAGCTCTCTCACTTTCAGTGTGTCCTGTTCCTGGTGGTGGTGAGCACACAGCCCCTTTATGATTCCTCCTCCCCAAAATGATAGAGAAAGCTCGCCCTGATTGGGCCCTTAGAAACCCAAGCTGGTTAGATGATCCACTCTTTTCCTCAGGGCTGCAAGGTAGAAGCCATAAACACCTCCATTCCTACCCCCCTCATGGGGCTGTAGGACTCGGGGGAGGACACAAAGGACACAGCTCTCCCACTTGGGGAGGACAGTAGAAGCATCTTGAATGTTCCAGCTTGGGTGTTCTTTCTGCCTCCTCACCTTTCCCACAAGTCTGTCCAAATCGAACAGGCCCCCTGCGATACTGTGCTGGGGACGGGGCTCTCTCCCCGAGGCACTGTTCACTCACCACAGACTGGAAGTGACTGGTTTTGCTCCAGAGGCTGACAGCCTGGACTTCGCCCAGCTCAGCCTTGGCCTGGAGAAGCACATACTTCCCAGATGCCTTGGTTTTCCTGAGCCCACCCAAAGTCTGGTGAGAGGACCGGCCCCTGTTCTGTTCATAAACTGGGTCCAGGACAGGAGGCCCCCAATCCTTAGCTTTCCATATGTGTGCCTTCCTCAGAGTATTGGGGTCCCTCCTGTGTGTTTTCTCTCCATGAGATTGCTGTACCATGTCAGACTTTTGTATATTCCTAGACAAATAAACAGAAACTAGAACCCTCCACGAGTCATCGCTGGGGCTGGGGCTGCCTGCAGGACCCTCTGGGGTTCTGCTTGTCTATTGTGTAACAGGTGGCTTCAAAACTTAGGAGCTTTTTACATTTATTCTCCCAGCCCTAAGTCAGGATCCTCTGCTCGGTCTCTGCCCAAGTCTGCAGTCCCAGTGTTGGCCCAGGCCATAGGTGGCTCAAGCCCAAACCACTTCCCAAGATACTCATGTGAGTGGTGAGATTATCTCTTCCTCCTGGGCTATCAACCAGAGGCCATTATGGGTTCCTTGTCATGAGTGCACTCCCACAGAGGTGGAGTAAAAGCAGGCTTCATGAGGATAGATGAGAAAAGCCAGGGTGAAGTGATCCTAGGACACAGCCTTTTGTAACTAGCCTCCAGGAGTGGTGTCTCAGGCAGGCCTGGTGTTCTCTTCATAGATATGAGTGTGTAGGTCCATCCCACACAAAAGAGAAGGGGATGAATGCTAAAAGGCAAGCTGTCAAAGGATGGCTCTGCAGAATGGCAGAGGGGCTACCCAAACCATGTTCCCTACCACAGCTGTAGCAAAAAGGGACCACCTAGACTACTGTCACCCTAGACACAAAGTCATGAGACACTGCTGCTCTGGGTTTTTGGTGGTGGTGGTGGTGGTGGTGATTGTGGGGCTTGAACTCAGGGCCTGGGCACTGTCCCTGAGCCTCTTTGTGCTCAAGGCTAGCGCTCTACCACTTGAGCCACAGCACCATTTCTGTTTTTTGCGTGTTTTATTGGAGATAAGAGTCTCATGAGGACTTTCCTGCCCAGGCTGGTTTTGAAATGCAGTCCTCTGATCTCATCCTCCTCAGTAGCTAGGATTACAGGTATGAGCCACCAGCACCCAGCATGCTGGTCTGTTCTTGTTCTACTCAGTTTGGTGAGTTCTAAGTACATTAAGTACTAAGCTTAAACCCCTTCCCACCTAATACCAAAGGGCCACCAACTTCCTTCCAATGTCCACTGTCCATCCTTGCCATTTTGCCTTAGGAATAGCTCCTCCATGCCAGAAACTGGGAGTGAGCTGCGGAGACAAATGCTGGAAACAGCTGAGAATACTCATGGTGGTAGAAGCTGTGACAGAGATACCTCGAGTTTGACCTGGGGTGCCTCATTGAGGATATAATGCCTGAGCTAGCATTGAAGGGTAGCTGGAAGCTTGCCAGGGCAGAGAGGCAGGTGCAAAGATCCTCCTGGATCAGCACTGCTGATTTGAAAGAACAAGTGGTGGTAGAGGCGCAGGGTCTGTAGTGCGGCTTGGCTTGGAAGAGCAGGGGTTTGGTTTCTTCAGAGTTGCTAAGTAATGAGGAAAGCAAAGCAGTGAGAGAAAAAGTGCTGGGAGGGTGTTTTGGAGACAATCTCATACATGCCCAGGTTGCACTGGAACTCAATCCTCCTACCTCATCACCTGGAATGCTAGGATTACAGGCATGCCCCACCATGCTGGGCTTAAAAGAAAATGTCCTATAGGATTTGACAGGACCTGGCTTCTGTCACACTGTGAAGCAGACAAGTTTCAGGAAGGAGAGCTCAGGTCAGTTATTCATTTCTTTTAGCGCAGAGGTAAAGCCTGGTTTTTGTTTTCTTTTAAAGAGAAGCTCAGCCCCATACTCACTCTTAGCTCCCAAGTCTGAGGCTGATCCCATATTTAATAGCAGCTTCTGCCATTGGCTTCAGGACGAGCCCTGACCCTAACCTAGGTCATCCCATCAAGGGAGGCCATTATTCTCCATCGTTAATTTTATGTGAACATGGAAAGCATCACTAATAACTGGGGCCCAAATTCTAGAGGATACCCCCACCACAACAGTGAACTAACTTTTCTTTTAAGTGTTGCCTGAAGGACTTTAGAGGATGCTGGCGGAGGAGGGGTTACATTGGAGAGGGAACTAGAACTTTCTTACCAAAAGACTTTACTTCTAGGGATAGGGTGGTTCCACTGATTATCATTTACATGATTCTGCCTGTTGTTCCCAGACATGACCACAAGGGGGCACTGAGGATGGTTCTTAGGCAGATGTCATAAGGCTTCCAAGAGCCTTCTCACATTTTGACCTTTATCCATTCTGGCCCTGGACTAGCAGCTAGGATAAAAATTGCAAACTCATAAGTGCTCAGGACTAGACAGAAGCTTAGAAATAATCTAGAGCAAATATTTAGGAAACTTGGCAGAGAGAGACCATGGGATGGGCTAGGAATGTGGTTTAGTGTAGATTGTTTGCCTAGCATGCATGAAGTTCTGGGTTTGACTCCTCAGTACCACATAAACAGAAAAAGCTGGAAGTGGCACTGTGGTTCAAATGGTAGAGTGCTAGCCTTGAGCAAAAGAAGCTCAGGAGAACCAGGTCTGAAGGTCTCAGCACCTGCTTGAAGGAGCTGCCTTGTTCAATTTGTGGGACTTGGGCCTAGAACACAAATGTGCTAATGATGTTATAATAATAAATGCATTCATGGGGCTGGGAAGGTGGCTCAGTGGTAGAGTGCTTGCCTTGTATGCATGAGGCCCTGGGTTCAATTCCTCAGCACCACATAAGCAAAAAAGAAAAAAGCTGGAAGTGGCATTGTGGCTCAAGTGGTAGAGAGCTAGCCTTGAGCTGAAGAGCTGAGGGACAGCGCCCAAGCCCAGTTCAGGCCCCATGAATGGTCCCAAATAATAATAATAATAATTAATAATAATAATAATAAATGCATTCAGGCCTCCCCCTCCCCCCCAAAAAAAGCAGCAGCAGCTCAGGAACAGTGCCCAGGTCCTGAGTTCAAGCCCAGAACTGGCACACACACACACACAAAAAAAAAAACCATGGGATTTGCCTTTAGCTACACAGCTCACTGCATGCTTTCTCCAAACCTGATACTCCTTGTTCCTGGGTGTTTGCAATGTGATTAGGAAGCGTTTTGCTTTTTATCCTTAAAGCTAGTGCTCTACCACTTGAACCAAAGCTCTATTATATCAGGCTTTTTGCTGTTTAATTGGAGATAAAAGTTTCTCATATTTGTCTGCCTGGGCTGGCTTTGACCCATGATTCTCATATCTTAGCCCCCTGGGTACCTAGAATTCGAGGCATGAGCCACTAGTGCTGGAATTCATCATTTTTTGTTGTTAGCACTGGGATTTAAACTAGGTCTTTGCATCTACTAAGTGATCTACCACTTTCGCCACACCTCCAGTCCTGCTTTTAATTGGCTGTTGTATTGTTGTTTTTTTCAGACAGTCTTGTGGGTTTGCTCAGGTGGGCTTTAAACCACAAGCAAAAACCACACCTCTATTCCTTTTTTGTTTATTTTTCAGAGAGGGTCTTGCACTTTTGCCTTGAGCCCACCTCATATAGCCATCTTCCTTTCGCAGTCTCTTGTGTAGCTGAAATTATAGGCATGAACTACCAAACCTTACTCCCCTGGCTGGACTTTTAATAATATTTGAATAGACTGTGAATTTTCATTTTCATTTATGGACTCTGGCCACAAATTATGCAGTCAGTCTTGCTCCTCATCTTGCTTGAGTTCTGCCAATTGTTTCCAATCAACCCCTCCCAAGATCCTCCTCTCCTCAAGTTCCTACCCCTTCCTGCCAACTCGGTTTGCCTCTCACACTGTGCTGGTTCTTTTTGCTATAAAGCCCTCCCTGCACTGCCCTGGAGCTGACACTGCTTTATTCTTAGCCCTTCCCTTCAGATTTTTAGACTTCACTATTTAGGTTGAGAAAGAGGAAGAAGCATTGCTTAGAGAGTTTTATCCTTGGGTTTTTGCAGTTACCCTGCTGTTGATAGAAGGGAGAGCTTCTTATTCGTTTCTTTCTTCTTCTTTTTTTCTTTTGGTCTGTTGTGGGGCCCAAACTCTGGGCCTGAGCCCTGTCCCTCAGCTCAAGGCACAAGGCTCAAGGCTCAAGGCTAGCGCTCTACCACTTAAGACACAGTGCCACTTCTGGCTTTTTCTGCTTATGTGGTGCTGAGGAATCTAACCCAGGGCCTCGTGCATGCAAGGTAAGCACTCTACCACTGAGCCACCTTCCCAGCCTTCATTCTTTTCTTTAAAAAATTTTTAAATTAATTTTATTGTAAAGGTGCTGTAAAGAGGGGTTACAGTTACTCATTCTTTTCTTAACTGCTGAGTCTTAAATGACATATCCTAATTAGTGCATGAGAGACAAGAGTCCTGGGTTCACAATACCAATTTACCACTAAGAACACATGACTTTGGGCCGGTCATGTTCATTTCTTTTTTTTTTTTTTTAATAATTTTTATTTAATGTGCGTTACAGAAAACATATTCGCAAAGTGCAAAATATTACTGCCACAAGCAGTTCAGGTGGACATGACTGTCTAGATCCTCCATGTATATACATCAATCCCTTTCATGTTCATTTCTTGTTTATTTTGTTTTGTTTTTGCCAGTTCTGGGGCTTGAATTCAGGGTCTGGGCACTGTCCCTGGGCTTCTTTTGCTCAAGGCCAGCACTCTACCACTTGAACTACAGCACCACTTCCAGCCTTTTCTGTTTATATGATACCGAAAACTCAAACCTAAGGCTTCATACATGCTAGGCAAGTACTCTACCACTAAGCCACATTCCCAGCCCCAGGTCACGTTCATTTCTGAGTCCCTTTGCAGGCATTTATAAAACAGAGAGGATAATACCTGCTTTGCAAGGTCCCAGGGGGACTGGCCAGATGACATTTGTACAGGAAGTCCTTGGCAAATGTTAGTTCACTCTCGCCCCTGAAACCTGGAGGCTCAGAGAGGAATTAATTTGCCTAAAGTCACAGCAGCTCCTAAGCTGCCAGTTTAGGCTGCTCCTGAACGTCTGACCCCAGTTTAGATTGCTCCAGTCACCCCATTTTACATTTGAGGTGTTTCTTCTCTGGGGCCTGGGAATGCCAGGCCTGCCTGAGAGAGACCCCAGTCACAGATGCAGCCTAACCAAGGAAAGCAGCAACCACTCCTATGGACTCAGCCAGTTCTTTGTTCCAACTGTCCTCA